TAAAATATTATATATTAATCTAAAATAATTTTATTTAATTTAAAATAATATTATTTAATCTATAAAAAAATTAATTTAATTAATTAAATTGATAATTTAATGTATTTATCAGACTTTTATCTACTTTGTAAACATGACACAATTTGTATCCATAATCTGATGTGGCAAATTTGGAGGATTAATTTGTCTAATCTCATCATCTCTAGTAAAAGTGAGTGAAATAGTGTAATTTGTTAGTGGAATAATATTTTGAGATTGTTATGGATATTTTAGCTAAAATTTAATGATTATTTAGAAAAAATATTATTTAGAAAAACATCAAGTTAGATCAAAATTATCTGACCGGGTCAATATATGAGTCGTCTAAATTTGTGAGGTTGGAAAAAAAAAGAATATCATTAAAATAGAAAAATGAATAAAGAATTAGTTTTGAGAAAGCGGCAGAAATTTCAATTGATGTGGAAATTAAAGCTTAATTTTTTTTTATTTTTTTTAATTCCAAATCAAAATGAAATATATAAAACAATCATGTCTTGAAAGGATAATCATATATAGTAGCTAATTAAGCTGCTGGTCAACCTGTGGGTGATGACGTTAACCATGTCATGTCCATGCCATGATAACAAATATATGAATTTGTAATTCACATCATACATACATATGCATGTCTAATAATAAAAACTTATCAAATCAAATTTGAGGCTTAATCATAATATGTACCCTAACATTGACTTTTTTGTGTATGCCAATAGATATGGATGACGTTTTCTCTATTAGAATTTAGACCCCCACATAAGAGAATCTCATTGACAAGCCATTTGTTCTTTACTCGGATTTCATTTTAATATCCTAACATAGTGCAATGGGATTCACATCCTCCCTATATCTATGATTAACTAGTAAAATAGGATGAAAAACAATATAAATAAGTGATAATTAATCAGATATTGGACAATTAAATGCTAGACAGATGATTCGAGCGGGAAATTTGTTTTTAAAAAAAGGCGGTCCATGACCTGGCCGAGCCAAGAGAGGACGAAGACTTCGCTACGTGCCAATTATATGGTTAAGACGGGCATAGGAAAGATAGAGTGATCAATCCAATGAATCCACCCGAGTTTAATCCTACTTGCTTTCCTACTAACTATATTCAAATAAAAATTTAGGGCTCACTTGTTTTTTTTTTTTTGTTTTTTTTGTTTTTTGAAACGACGGTTTCATTCACTAAAACACGTAATTGAAAACAAATTAGTCGGAATAGGAGGACTACCCAAGATAGCCTAGAAACTACAACATACACTGCTGACAATAAACAGAAAAAAAACACTCACAGGGAGAATACAAAGCCCCTACAAGTGGAGAATACATGCTCCAAAAAAAGGAGTAAAACACAAACACAAAAACAGACAAAGACAGATACAAGCACACACATACTACCACAAGCAAAACACAACTAAAAGCTATAATAATGCCCTCCTCAACAGTCGCAAGAGAACCCTAAATACAGACTCGGGACAAGCACCTGATAACGAACGCAAAAGAGCAAGACCACACCAAAAAAGCAGACGACGAAACTCCCTTCTCCAAGTCAGAGTTCGCTAACGACATCCACTGATATTGAGTCTAGTCTCACTCCCAAACCGGTCATCACCGGAGAAACTCACTTAGGCCCGCACCTCCCTCTTTCCCAAACCCACTCTGCCACAGCCCCTGAGGCTCCAAACAGAACGGGCACCGCTGTCCCTCAACCCCAGGGATACTAGATGAGACGAATAACTGAAGAGAGAGGAGCGAAGGCCTAAGCCCTGCCCACCAATTGCGGAGCGACGCCGGCAACTCCACTAATCCGCCAAATCATCGAAGCAATCCCTCGACAGACATCGGGGAAAGGAAGAAAACCTGCACCGGAATGAACCTGAGACAAGACAGAGACGGAGGGGCTGTCTATTGGGATCTATAAGGATATCGTTATATACAAGTTACGAATTCAATAGTAAACGTAAACTTATGCACAGTGGATCTAAAGGTTTGACGTAAAAAACTTAAGACTTAAAATTTATCTGAATTTGACGGGATTTTGGATGACCGGGAACAACACGTCAGAGCGTCACCGGGATCACACGGATACACGGGATCGAGCTGCGTCAGGTTCCGGGAAAGTCTACGGTGGAGATCACGGGCTACCGGCAGTCCATTGCAGGGCTGGGTCGTCGCGGCGGCAGCTTGCGGCGGTCCTCAGCTGGCGGCGATCAACACGGCGGGCTGGGTTCGGAGGATCTCGGCCTTCGGGTTGAGATTCGCCGGCTCCGGTAGATGATCACGGGGTCTCGGTTATCTTCGAAATCTTCTACTG